CATCCGGTGCGACCATCACTGAGCCTGCCTACGAAGGTGTTTTTCAAAATTTTCCGTCGAGGAGGGACCTTTCGGCGCAGCCAGCGGCTAGGGAAGGAACGAGCGAAGTATACCACATGTGGAAGAGTTAAATAGGAATAAGGAAAATTTTGATTCAGATCTAATTTTGAACGAATTTCTCTCGTATCTGCACGCTGTCTAAGTGTGTGTGGACTGGCAACGGTCTGTAGCCTCGGAGCGTGTCAGGCGCTGGGTTCGGCTTTTCCACCAATTGTTGTCGCTTGCTCTCTTCAGCGATTGGAGGAGAACGGGTTGGCACGGATAAAACAACCTCCGCCAGCCCTTAACTAGTTCTGTGGACATTCCCCCTCCAAAGTCGCGATAGGGAGTGCATATATTAAGAGAAGTGAATAACCTGAAGATAATCACAACCCGACAAAATGCATATCCTTCGAAACTTTATGAAGTCAAATTGTGAACTCATAATGCCAGTGAAACATCGCGGAAGGTGACATTTCTCGTAGATCAAACAATCTCCCCGTTTACGGTTCCATTTGAAAGCTACCTGGAAGAAGGATGGCACGGGAGGTCTGGATAACTTCCTACTGCAAGACGGGAAAAGATTTTACCTTTTCGCAACCAAAAGCAATGAGATCAGTATCCTCTGTTATCACCACGTCAGCGAAATGTTCATTCGCAAGAAATGCCAGTTGCGCATCGGATTCATAAGGCGAAACAATCACATCCACATTTGTGTAAGCGCGAAAATGCTGTAACAGACTTACAGAGTATTTCATCATTTTGGTTGTAGTATAAAGTAAATTACCCACGTGAATGGCACTTTCCACGATGTCACTGATAGATGTAGGGGTTCGATCGCAGTTGCCCATCGTTTCGTTGGCTTCTCCTTCAGTAAGTAGTTCGCCAGCCTTGAACCTGTTGGCATATCGTTTTCGTCGGCTCTCCTTTGTGTCCTGCACAATGGTGTTTTGGGATGATATACAGGCATTTTATTAGATCCCACAAACGCACAATTTTCCAACCGTACGCTAGTCCTGATGGAAAGAGGTAAATCTATTGTGGGCCACCAGAGCCAAGAAACCCCTTCTCCCTATGAAATCGAATTGGCGCGAGAGGTTTACGAGAAAGAAACAGGCTCGAACGGATATGTGACGGCAGGAGTACGCGGCGTCGCGTGCGACAACTGCAAAAACCGTATGGCTGCGATCGGCGCTGATGATTTTGTTGTCGCTACGGTGATATTTCGCTACCATTACTTTATGAGGACAGTCCGTCGTGCCTCAAAATTATGTCAGTAGTGCAGTCTCTAACAGCATGCTGTCCAGAAAGAACTTGTGGCAACTAAATAATTAGGGGTTAGCAAGTAAGCTAAACCAAGCTCACGAGCAGAACCTGTGCAGGCTTTTCTGCACCTTAATTGCTATGTAATCACTCCAGTCAAGTAAAGCAAAAGCTAGTGGTCATGACAACCCAGGTCATACCAAAGTGAGAGAGCGTGGCTGGAAACTGAAGCGAACACAATCTTATTCAATAGCGCAAAGGTTTTTTTCGCATGAAAATACAAATCTGAACTTGCCCGCTCAAGCGCCAAAACAATCCTCAAGACAAGATTAATAAACCATTCAACGATATCGATACCAAAGGTTTATGGCAAGCTGCAAGCCAGCGGTGCTGCTTGCAGATTGTCGCGCGCGCGACGTCGCGTGGTCCTGGAGACCGTCTCCCCGCATAGACTTCTCATAATTGACGGTGTGTCGGCCATTGGTGTAGGCCGACAAACGACCTTATCGTGTTTAGACGCAGTTCTTCAATGCATGCTGGTTTTTTTTTTGAGGTGCGCACCGCTGGCCCCGCAAGCCATTGTGTATTCCAGGCCGTGCATAGGCCTTTCAAAATGGCGCCACGATTCCACATGGAAATAGAGTGAATGGTGCATCTCTAGGGAGGAGCTGTTCACTACCTTGCCAAGTTCAAGTGTGGGGGTAAACTATCTAAATAATGACGGGAAAATACCTTTGTGCGCAGGGAAGGACGACCATCAAATACAGGAAACGTGGCAACCGAGAGTCCAGCAACACTTAGACTGTTTATTCTACATACTTACACACACTGCCAAATAAAGTGATATTAAGAGTAGTGAACTTTGCTTAGAACGAAGCTAAATCTGTTTTCCGTCTAATCCCAACTGGAAAAGCCGGTTAATTGGTCACAGTGAAAGCTGAATAGTTCAACAAAGTTCTTCCGCGAGTCAAAGGATACTGAGGGAGCAGTTTGGCTCGGTTTGTGCACCAAGTGGTACTCAGAGAGACGTGTCCAGGCTACTTGGTACCTTGTGACGTTCGCGTAACCATAGGGCTCACTTACATCCACTCTGCAGACGTTCACCAAGGCCCTCACAGGGTCTGTTAGCCAAACAATGCCGTTAGTAAAAAGCCACTAGCGAAAGTGGAAAATGCCCCTCCCAAGCCGTCGAAGTCACGCAAAGCAAGCCGTTGTGCGATCACTATTTTCACAAGCGACGTTCAGATATAGTTAATGACTTCCTCATAGTTCCCGAGGCGGAGGTGGTGTAGGACCATGTGGCCTCTACCACTCGTCGCGTCGCCGGCGTTCGATCCGCCGATTAGACACCCCGCCCAGGCGCGACCAAGCCTTCTACGCCTCCAGTCGAACGCGTATAATTCGGTACGCGAATCGTCTGTGAGGATAAACATTGACTTTTGCATCCCCGGCTGGCCACCGCAAAGTCATTGATAGGCCACATCGTCATCAAAGCCACTACGATTCTGAAGTTGAATAGAATCGACCGCCGCATCACCTAGAAGGATTGATCAACGAGCGAAGACTTTATCCTTTATCCATAGTTCCCGGGATCCCGACTAGGAGTAAAAAAGTTATCCATCCTGTGATATATGATAGCGCTATTTTGGGATTCAACAGTGTTCATCATTTGCGATTATTCTGTATGTTCACTTTGTTTCCATTTTTCCTCTTCCTACTCAGTCGATTTTCTTAACACATTCCAGTCATAAGAATGGTTTCCCGATCGATTAGCAATTCTGCAAATGAACATACCTAGAAAGGGGGCCTGGGATCAGAGTGCAGATAGAACGGCCTTTCCCACCAATTGATGAGGGCTCAGGATGGCATCAGTTGCTGGAAAACGGGGAATTTTGGCGACGGGGGTTTGCACTGTTGCTACTTCCCATCGACGTGTCGAGCCATTTAGACAGCTATTCGCATGAGCTTAGCTTAGCTTTGAGCTCTACAGGCTGTGCTATGGTGGCTCAACGAGCTTGCTCCAGCTTCACAAGTGCTCACATTTCGCCGAAATGAGATTCATAAGCGATTTATAAGCTGGATTCAGTGAGGTAGTGGAAGTGCGGAATCCTTCCCCCCCCTCCCGTCTTCGGGTCTCCCTCGGAACTGCCGCCGGAATGGCCGCCCTGGCAAGCTCATATCCGAACCTCCCCAGACGCCCTCTCTTTTGCAGGGATCTTGGGTGGCCGAGGGTTAGTCTAGTCTCACTGAAAAGACGTAGTCTCTACTGAGCCTAAGCCGTGATTAGAGGAAGGGATACGAAAGCGCTAGCGTGTTTTTCTCCGCCCACTCGCAGCTTCACCATGGTCCCAAGACCTTCTTTTCGTTGATTGAATGATTACTACTGAACGAAGGTAGCTAATTGCTTAGCTACTATTCTGCGTTTATTAGCCAATGTATAAAAATCCTCTTATATCTTCGTTGTAATACTACGACTACACGCGTACCGCTGCCCTGCATACTCTCAACTCTGCACCCCCAACTGTCAACTTCCCTCTGCCATATCATGAATTCCTCTACCTTCTCCCGAGCCTGCCGCTCCATCTCGACGCATGCTTCTCGCCTCTACAACATTCTCACACTCCCGATATGTAATCAACTCGAAGCTAATATCGCCACATCCATACCATACGCTGCATGGTAGATTATCCACTACTTCCCCCCTCTCGTCGCGTCTAGCAATGCTAATTTCACCCCACTCCCATCGTCCCCAACCTGTCATAACAACACAATTGACTCAAACTATGAATTTGCACGCAAAAATACATCCACATCACCCCATATATATAATTCGCTTCGTCTGTTTGTTTGTAAGTTTGTTTGTTTGTAAGTTTGTTTGTTTGTTTGTAAGTTTGTTTGTAAGTTTGTCTGTCCGGAAATTCGGTTCGACCTGAAGAACGACTTGGAGAGGTCGGGTCAAGGTGGGGATGGGTAGAGCATGGGACAAGAAATAAAAGCACACTTGACCTATGGGAAGCCCCGCCCACAGTGGGCGGGGCTACGTGCGCCTAAAGTTTGGGTCCGCAGAAAAATGTTCAGTGAATTCGCTTCCGGGCAGCTTAAAGATGTGGACGAAAAAAGGAATAAGGTTAGCAGGAGTCGCCAGACTAACTGTGGCAGACACATCCAAAATGGGCGGGCGTACTCAAGGTGGGCGGTGCTTCTCGCAAAATTCAGTAACCCGGTTCGCGAGAGTGTTTGGAAGGCAAAAAACTCAGTGTAGAATGTAAATATCTGGCGAATATAGGGCATGCTCAAAGTGTGTTGAGACCCGCCCATAGTGGCGGAGCTTGCCCTAAATCGCAGGGTATTCATTTTAAAAGATTGTAACTCGGTTCCAGAGCACTCCAGAAACCGGAAAAAAGTGGACTGAGGTCAGCAGAGAGTCGCCGGTGAGGATTGTGGGGCAAAAACATTGTGGGCGGAGCTTGCTTTGGAAGTGGGCGGAACCAGCAGGAATTCTCTAAACTGTACCCAGCAGACTTGCAAAGACCAAAAAACTGATTAAGGCCAGCAAGAGGTGTCAGCCTGAGAATGTGGCGGCAAAACCATTGCGGGCGGAGCTTGCTGTTCGAAGTGGGCGGAAGTCAGACAAAAAATCGTCTGTGATCGGTTCAGAAGCACTCGCAGAAACCGAAAAAGTGACGAGAGGGTCAGCAGAGAGTCGCCGGTGAGGACTGTGGGGCAAAAACATTGTGGGCGGGGCCTGCTCCGGGGTGGGCAGTGTCAGACGAAGAATCTATAAAATAGCTCACAAGTGGTACGTCAGAACCGCGCAAAAAAGTGGCGACGAGTAATAGAACAGAAAAGGCTGAGAATTTATGTATTTATTATTATATATTTAAGTATTATTGCGTCAGAAATATGTGGAAGAAACACGCCGCCGCGAAGCCGCGCCCGACCCGGTGGCGCAGCCGGCGTATCAGAAGGAGCGCGCCGGCTGTCAGCGGCGAGCGGACTGGTAATATAATAAACCGGCCAAAAACTGCGTGGCAGATGCACCGATCGGACTAACGATATTTATAAACCCATTGTGCCAGTTCTTAGTTCTTGCTGTTATGGAACAAGTAATGCCTGACAAGTTCGCTTTCAGTCCTTGAGCCTTACTTCCAACATAGCCAAATAGACTCTTACACAATAAACAGCTAACGTCCATGGCAACCGAATATCCGGAGAATTCTGTCACATTACCCTGAAATATGTAAAATTACTCGTATTTAACCATTCTTGAGAATCGCTTCTATTCCTTAGTAAACCTTTTCTACAAACCTGCCGACAAGCGTTCTTTACGAACGGCAGAAGATTGTGAACACCCATTCTGGTGAGTTCCCTTTATGAGTGTCCGTTCTGGAAATGTAAATAGCAGTAAAGGAAAACATTGTATGCTGAAGAACCGAAGCAGGGTTTCAAGCAAGAAAAAAAGAAAAACCACTAAAGACACACAGTAGGGTGTTGGGTTTGAGAGTTCGACTACTAAGGAAGTTGCATCGTACAAAATGGACAGTGCTAATGTTATCGCTGCAGAACAACGACACCACTCTCGCTGTGAATAGGAATGGAAATGCAACTGGTAAGCTGTAAGTTCACAGATTCGGCGTCACAATTTGACAGTTCAGGGAGTATCGAGAAAGGTGAGACAGATCCCGCTTGTCAAGAGGAGTGAGCTTGAGCTCGTCGTGTTATGCTCGAAAACTTGCATTACTCAGTTTCCGGGATAAAGGATAAAAAGGATAAAGTCTTCGCCGTTGATCAATCCCTTTGTGGGATGCGGCACGCATTCTACTTCCATTCAGAATCGTAGTGGCTTATTGCGATGTGGCCTATACAATGACTTGCGGTGGCCAGCCGATGTACAAGTCAGTGTTTTATCCTCCCAGACGAATCTGGTACCAATTTACCGTCCCCGGAGGGTAGAAGGCTTGGTTGGCCTGGGCGGGTGTCGACCCGGGATTCGAACCCGGCGCCGCGCGAGTGGTAAGCGCGCCACTTGTCACTACACCACCTCCGCCTCAATTTCTGGGAAAGTCATGCAATTTCCCTTTCTATACCTTACAGTCCGTTGGTTTTCCACATGGCGTGTACCGTGCATTGGTACGTACCACTGGAAAACGTGGTGCATGGTGCATTTCGTCCCAAGACCGTATCAATTGGGATCACTTCACTTCTCTCGCTGGGCTCTGGGAGGATTCCGTCATCGACAACATCGACGAGGAATACGAACGGCTTGTCGCACATCTTCACGACTGCGCCAAGAAGTCAGAGAGTTCCAAGATTACCAAGAAGGTTCATGGAAACTCTCGAGCTGATTCGCCAACGTGGAGCCGCACGAGCCGCAGGCAATTACCAGCTGACGTCTGAGCTTGCGAAGCTATGCAGAGAAGCGATAAAGGAAGACCTCAACGAGAAAAGTGCAAAGTGCAGCACCACAGGTAGAAGCTGCAAAGGCTGAGAAGGGTACCCGCAACGCGGCGTCGCCATTTTTAGGACCAAGATGATCGGCCTTCATCATCCTGAAGGAACATTCGCTGCATCCAGAAGGGCAATGGAGAAGGTCATCCACGACTTCTACTCTGATCTCTTTGACAGCCACGTCCACCTGCCACCATACCGCTTGGAGCAGGATGGATACGTCGTTCCTTCAGTCCTCCCTTCCGTAGTTGGGAACGTTTATGGCGCCCGATCGAGAAACTCGATAATCGAAGGGAGCACACGCGAAAAAAGAGGTGATCGAAGAACTTCTCCTCTACAACTCGGGAAGCGCTTTTGAGAGGTGCGCTTCCTGTGGCGACATGTGCAAGAGATTCAGCCGCACTATCTACACAGCACTAGCTGAATATGTATCCTTAAATTCTACCAATCTATCACCAACCAAATATTGGGATCATGTAAGTAATTTGCTGGAGAGCAATTACTCTCGCAGCAAGCAACTGCTACTATTATTCTACCACTTTTCACAAAGCACGACTTTAGAGAGGATCGCGTGATGACCCGTTGCCGAGCCTTCAGTACTTCTGAGTGTGCCGTGAGCTCAATCACCATTCAAGAGGATTACTACTTAGGTAGTGACGTCCGTTGCTCCAAGTGGTGCCACCGGGACCTGCTCGCTTTTGCGGGCTAAGCAGAACGCGGACGATTTCGAAGGCAAGGCCGACAACCGTTCGTGAACGGGCGCGCGCTGACAGAAATATACCCCATTGTCAACTATCTATTGATTTGTAACTACATATGCCATACCAATTTCGAGATAAATGCTAGGCGTTTCCGGGCAGACCGACGCGCACTCCAGCAAGAGCCGACGAGAGTGTGAAAAATATGCGAGGGTCCTCGTTGCAAGGACGGCATCGGGGCAACCAGGCTAGTCCGAAAGACCTGCAATGTGTTAAAGGCTCCGCATTGCGACGCTGAACGTTGGCACGTTGACTGGACGCTCGTATGAGTTAGCAGAAGCCCTAGAGCGTAGAAAGATCGACCTCTGTGCCGTGCAAGAGACGAGATGGGCTGGTTGCAAGTCGAAAGATTTAGGCCGCGGCTTCAAAGCCATTCTTTGTGGTGGGGCCGAAAAACTACAAGTGGTGTAGCCGTGATCGTGTCTCAGCGGTTCCGCGTTTCGATTATGAGCGTAGTTCGTTTCGGCGACCGTTTAATGAAGATTGTTGTCGCTAGTTGAACAACGGCGTGTACCCACTATCTTTCTGTATATGCCCCACAAAACTGGATACTGAGCAGTCCAAGGACGAGTTCTGGGCTCTGCTGGACGAGAAGACGGCTGAAGTGCCACCAAAAGACGGTATCATTGTAGCCGGCGATTTGAACGGACACGTGGGCGCTGCAAAAGACGGCTATGCTTGTCATGGCGGATTCGGCTACGGTTCACGGAACGCCGATGGTGAGCGAGTCCTTGAGTTTGCAGAGTCGCATAATCTCGTCATTCTGAACACGAAGTTTCGTAAGCGTGACTCCCATCTCATCACGTTCTACAGCGGGAGTACCAAGACACAAATAGACTTTGTGCTCATCAGACATGGCGACCAAGGACTCGTGACAGGACGCTAAGGTAGTACCGTATGAAACGGTTGCCACGCAGCACCGCCCACTGATCTGCACGCTCAGGCGGTGTAGCCCCCAGACGCGGCAGGCAAAATGATGGCGTCCTGAAAGAATAAAATGATGGGGCTGAAGAGACCGGAAGGCAGCTGTGATTTCTCGTATTCGACTACCTGAAGTCACAACTGTTCAGGAGACCTGGGAACGAAGCTGTTAATTCTATAATCCAGGCCGCCCGCTCCGAACTCGGCAACAACAAGCCGGGACAAGAGGGATTGCACAAAGGCAGGCATGGCGTCTGACGACGACGTCAAAGCAAAGGTTCGAGAAAAGAAAAGACTCTATCACGCGTTTCTCGAGCACAAGTCGGCTGACAACTGGCGGCAGTATCGGGAAGCGAGGAAGGCGGCAAAGACGGCCGTGCTGCTGTGAAGGCCGCTCACTTCGATGATATCAGCAAGAAGCTGGAGACGCGCGACGGTGAGCGGTACCTGTACGGACTTGCCAAGTCTCGTCATCGCATCGCCAGAACCCAAGACATTGGGGAAGTTCTCTGGCATAATATCGAGAAATAGCCAATTTCTGGATGGAGCGAAAAAGGATATTGCAACGATGGCGTAAATATTTCGAGGGCATCTCAACGGTGAATTCGCCCATCCCGCTATACCCAGTACCGCACCAACATATGGCCCCGTTCAGAAGATCACCGTACAGGAAACCGAAGCTGCTCTGAGGAAGATGAAGGCCGGCAAAGCAACAGGCCCCGACGACATCGCAGCTGATTTGTGGAAGTCACAGTCAACCACGCCTGGTTTTCTGCGGCCGGCTTGCGTTGACGAAACTCTTCCCAGATCGTTGAAGAGAAGAAGGTGCGTAAGGGCTGGCGGCAGAAGCGTGACGATCCCGATTTGGAAGAAGAAGGGCAACCCGGCAGAATGCTCGAACTACCGTCCAATTCGCCTTCTCTCGCACACTATGAAAATCTTCGAGCGAATTGTTGACGCGTCCTGGGTGGTTGCGACCGTGTCGTGATAATCGTCAAGCTTTCCATTAACCAATGTGGCTTCGTGGCGGGTTGTAGCACCGTCCGACGTCATACATGCCACTCGCCTAGTGCTGGAAAAACACTGCAGGCATTCGATCGTGTGCCACGTGATGTTATATGGTACGCTTTGAGGCGGCACGGCGTGCCCGAAGAGCTAATTGAGTGGGTGCGCATCCTTCTCTCATGCCCAGGGTGCTAACGTTCGCTCACCAGCGGCTACCTTAATGGAGTTCTCCATCACCGTCGGGATACATCAAGGCTCTGCGCTCTCCCCACTTGTTTTCGTTGCGTATCGTGATCCATCTTACGAGAAGTCTTACAAAGAAGAAGTGCGCATGGCGACTCTGCTTTACGCCTGATGACGTGAATGCTGCTTGTGAAGATCAAACTGGAACAGCAGGTGCAAGCTTGGGCCGAGCGTCCTGGCGAAGGTTTGGACTCAGCTTGAGCGTCAACAAAACCGAGTACCTGACAAAAGAGCCGGGCTCCATAAGATCGATGACACGGTGCTCAAGCGCACGGAAACATTCAAGTATCTCGGATCAGCACTTGCGTCCGACGGCAGTCTGAACTCGGAAGTGAGCGCACGAGTGAGTGCGGCATGGTCTAAGTGGCGATCCATGTCTGGGATCCTTTGTGACAAGAAAATGCCAGAGCGGTTCAAGTCAAAGATCTACCGTAATGTCGTTTCCGAACGCTGGTCGCGTTATATTGGTGCCGAGTGCTGGTCCGCGACCCAAGGAAGTTGAGGCTCGCCTGGGTGTGATGGAGATGAAGATGTTGCGCTGGAAGGCGGGCGTCGCGCGACACACCGCATTTTAACGATGTCGTGCGTCAGAAGTATGGGGTGGTAAGCCCCATAGCAGAAAATTGGCCGTGAAACGCGCCTTCGACTGGGTAGGGGCACCGTACTTCGTAGCGATACGGCTGACACGTCCGTAAAACTGCTCTCTCCAATTCGATCCGTACCAGGAAAGCGCCCCAAAAGGGCGTCAAACAGCGCTTGGCTGCGACAACGCTGCTAACCGACTTGAAATTAGTGGCATTCAACGCCCGATAGCATTCAATCGGGAAGAGTTAATTAGTTTATATTATTAGTGATTAGTTATTATTTCTATTAGTGTATACTTTCAAACAAAGCGGACCCGCGCATAGCGGGACAAACGCTGAGGAAGGAGAAGGAGAATAAGAGATTAATTACTTAATAAGAAGAGGCGAATTAGCACTA